GGCTGCGGTGGCCGGGAGCGGCCACTGCACTCCAGTCTGGGCGACAGAGTGAGACTCCAACTTAAAAAAAAAAAACAAACAAACAACTCACTACCTCTCCTTTCTCTGTGTTCTCACCTCCCACTCATTCCTTCACTCATTCCAATATGACTTGTGTTTTCCTACCATCACATCAACACGTCTCAGCATGGTCTCCATTAACCTCGATGTCACAGGTGCTTTTCTTTCCTCCACTTATTCCACCTCTCAGCAGCTCTCATCTCTGCACAGGTAACTGCTCCTTTCCTGATTGCACCGCACTCTTCCCATGGCTTCCAGACCCCATGCTCTCTTGTCACTCTGTCTCCTTCGTGGACTACTCTACTCTTCCCTTTGGGACTTCAAGCTCTCTTAGCTGGTCTCATCTATTTCCATGGTCTAAAATACCCTCTATAAGCTCCCATGTTTGTATCCTCAGCCCAACCTTCTTTTCTGATTTACACCTCTACCTACCTTTTTGATGTCTCCATTTAGATGTTTCGTGGCAGGCAGCTTAAACCTAACAAGTTTAAACCTTAATTCCTGACTTTTTTCCTCCTCAAATCTGTTCCTTTCCCATACATGGCCCCACTATCTACCCAGTTGCTCAAAACACCTAGCCATCCCAGATTCCAACTTCTCCCCCACTTCCAGCCATCACTAAGCCTTGTTGCTTCTACCTCCAAAATACAGCTGGAGCAGCTTCATTTTTCTCCATCACCCCTAGCTCATGCCCCCAGCTCTCACTGGGTTTCTGCAGTGGCCTCCCCACTGTCTCCCTGCTGCTGCTGTCATCCATTCCTCACACAGCAGCCAGGTAGGTGTACAGTACACTTAAGATGTAAACAGGGCCAGGCTCGGTGGCTCAGCCTGTAATCCCAGCACTTTGGGAGGCTGAGGCAAGTGGATTGCCTGAGCCTGCAGGTTCGAGACCAGCCCAGGCAACTTGGCGAGACCTCATCTCTACAATAAATAAAAAAATTAGCTGGGCATGGTGGCATGCACCTATTAGTCCCAGCTACTTGGCAGGTTGAGGCGGAAGGGTGTTTTGGAGGAGGTGCTTCCCTTAGAAGGAAGAATACATTTTGACCAGACAAGAGAGAGGTGGACACTCCAGGAATTGCGGAGCAGCAGGACCTCCTGGTCACATTCTGATCACTACCCACTGTCCCCAATTATAGGTGAGGGTCTGGTTCCAAAACCGCAGAGTCAAGTATCAGAAGCAGCAAAAGTTGAGACTGCTGTCCTTGTCTGCCGAGGCTGCCTCCCTAGATGAGCCCTCCAGCAGCTCCAACACCAGCATCCAAAGTGATGACGCTGAGTCAGGGGTGGACAACTGAGGACTGCGACAGAGCCCCTATCCAGGCCGCTTGGGCTAGTTCCTCTTGGGGGACTGCCTGCCCACATCTCAGCAAAAAGCCTCCTCAACCAGAAGAGTCTGAACTGTCAAGCAGGGCCAACCTTTTCTATATTAACCCCTGGAAACAAATGGTTAGAGGCACAGACTTTGACCTTCAGCTATGTCCTCGGCCAAGTTATTGAATTTCTGAGCCTTTTTTCCCCCATCTGTATAATGGGAGTGTTGATAACTTGGATCTTAAAGAGGTGAGATGATGTCTGTAAAGCATTTACAATGTGCCAGGCCCAGCACTAAGTATGTGGTCACTGTTAAGGTTTATAGGCTCCTGAGTAGAAGAAACAAATGGTGGAAAAAATGAACTGTCTTTTCTCTGCTCTCCATAACAGTCAACACAGACAAATGTGACTAAATATATGGGAGTTTTCCCCACTCACAAGTAAGCAAGCAAGCAATCCTGCAGCTCACACCAGCCGGACATCTCCTAAATTCAATTCTAACATTATCTGCCTGTTGGTAGTGCAGTGACATGCTCACGGCCACCACAGCCTTGATCTGCGGGGCTCAGGTGATCCCTCCACCTCAGCCTTCCAAGTAGCTGGAGCTACAGGTGCGCGCCACCATGCCTGGCTAATTTTTTGATTTATTGTAGAGACAAGGTCTCACCAAGTTGCCCAGGCTGGTCTCAAATCCCTGGACTCAGGCAATCCTCTTGCCTTGGCCTCCCAAAGTGCTGGGATTACTGGCTTCAGCCACCATGCCCAGCCATCCCCATCTTTTTACAGAATAGGAAATTTTATCCTGTCTACACCAAGGCTGGCATTTTGTCCTAAACTCTGCTATGGTTTTCTAAGACAGTTATTACTTCCTCCCCTTTCATAACCCTGACTCCCTTTCCCTCCCAGGAATCTGCTTGATTTCTTTCTCTTTTTTTTTTTTTTTTTTTGAGTTGGCCTCTCAGTCCTTCGCCCAGACTGGAGTACAGTGGCACGCACGCTCACGGCCATCCCAGGTTTGACCTTCTGGGCTCCAGCGATCCTTCTGCCTCACGCTTTCGAGTAGCTGGAACTACAGACGTGCGCTACCACGCCTGGTTTATTTTATTGTAGAGATGAGGTCTCGCCAAGTTGCCTGGACTGGTCTTGAACACGCGGGCTCAGGCAATCCACTCGCCTCAGCCTCCCAAAGTGCTGGGATTACAGGCTGAGCCACTGAGCCCTGTCAATCTGCTTGATTTCTAAGAAGCCTGCTGGTGGCCTACGTGCGGGAAGCCTGTCATCAGCATTTTCAGGGCTGATTTCTGTAAGCACATTCCAAGTGGCTCCTGGGGGCTGGCGTGAGTGGTATAAGGCGGCCTGTCCTGCCATCTGGTGGTAAATGAGGGCATAGTCCCCAGCTGCTCTTAGGACTGAGGTTCCTGAAGCAGGGAACAGAGGTGGCCTTGGAAAACCACCTGTCCCAAGGCAGTGGAGCATCCTCTCCTGGACACCAGGCTGCAGCCTTGAGCAGAGTCAGGGTTCAGCTTCAAGAGCCCTTCTTTGCCGGGCATGGTATCTCTCGCCTGTAATCCCAGTGCTTTGGAGGGTTGAGGATCACTTGAGGTCCGTCTGACACTAGCCTAGGTGACACGACAAGACCCTGTTTCCACAAAAATTTTTTTTTTTTTTTTGAGTTGGAGTCTCACTCTGTCGCCCAGACTGGAGTGCAGTGGCCGCTCCTGGCCACCGCAGCCCCGACCTGCTGGGCTCCGGCGATCCTTCCGCCTCAGCCTTCC